AGTTGGCTATTTGATAATAAAACTGGCATTCACCAAACTGACATCACTTACATATTTGGATTGTAACTCATGTTTTCACTAGCCAACATAGCCAAGGGGCAGGCAGGCTGAGGCTTAGAAACTGGTAGTTCGATATGTCTGGAGGACAGTTGGTCTGGAATAACACTACTCCATCATTGTAGAAGAAGATTTGGATAAAGAATAAGCCAGAATGCTTTTTGTTGGTCCTTTGGGATCTGTGTTTCCCAATTCTGTCTTGAAAACAACTCTGTTCGGAGATGTTTTTGAGCTGTATTCTTCCTAGGGGTGTGCACCTTTTTTGAACAATTTGTCATGTGATTTTTTTTCTCCCTTCTAGAATCCAGGGCTTTGAGCCAGGATTGTGGGGACAGCAAGAGGAAGCATCAAGCTGAGAGTGGCTATTTCTCTTTGGAGTGTTGTAAATCAGAGTCAAATTGGATCTCTTCCACTTCCTGTCCTAACCATAGCATGTTGCCTGCCCCTAGCAATGCCACCGGTGCAAGCAGGTGGACTGCTTCCTCCCTCAGCTTGGCAGATTCAGAGCTGAACTGGCACAGGAGTGGCAGCGGAGAGGGCCGGTGTGGGCTGATAAAGCAAAACTATACAATCTTGGCTGATTTACCCAAGGCCAAACGGCTTCATCGCCAGGGGGCTTTTGAAAAAGAGCACAGCCGTGCTCGGAGTCCAGGCCGAGCAGAGGTGGAACGGATATTTGGGCAGGATCGCAGGTAAGAAATGCTGGTGCATCCCAAACTGCATCCTTTCTCAGTCACAAGCATAGGAACTAGACAAGTCTTTGTGCTAACAACATTACTGCAAGCAGTTTGGCAGTTCAGGTCTCACCAGGATCGAGGTTGACTCAGCCTTCCATCCTTCCGAGGTCAGTAAAACGAGGACTCAGATCGTTGGGGGCTGATTTTGCAAACTACTTAGAGGGGGCTGTAAAGCACTGTGAAGCAGTATATAAGTCTAAGTGCCATTGCTATTACTACAAAGATTCATCTATGACAATATGGAGAACATTCCTTTTGGGCCCTTTATAGCAGGGATCCCCAAGCCCTGGGGTGCAGTCTGTTCATATTTGGGCCACGGAAGCTGTAGGTGGGTACGCGCATAGCACCTCTTGCGCATGTAGAGGCAGCAGAGCATGCATACACAGTTCCCCTTGTGCGAGTAAATGGAGCTATCCATGCTCACCCACCATTCACCCAGACCCATTCCCTCTCCTGACTGTAGTGATTCACTTGACAATCATCATAAAAATAGTCATAAAATTGAGTGTACTCATGTGGTGACTTGACTTCTGATCAAAATTCTGGGCTCAACTGTGGCCATAAGTCAAGGACTGACTGTATTACATACCTATTCTATCAACATTCACTTGACTTGGGGAGAATAATGGATTTCATGATCAAACAGGGCTTAAGGCTGCCAGACAGGGAAAAGTTTTTACAGGCATTAGAAATAATATGAAAAACGTATCCTGGAGTGTAAATGCCCATATTATTCTTGTCTTTGAAGGTGGAGATCCTTTGCAGGTTATTTCAATTGCTTCTAAAGTTTGTCTTTTTGTTTTTGGTTGTTAGGAAGTCAGAGACACTGGAAGTCTTCCAGGCCTTGGAAGAGGGCCTCCTGGAACGTTTGGACAGCAAGTCCTTGAAGCTGGCCAAGGAAGGGCGATTAGTCAGAAGGCGGTCGAGCCCCGCCCTGTGCCGAGAAGTAAGTGGCTGGTCCACAGACAGAACTTCAGTTTCATTTAACAGCTGGATATTTAAGGGGAAAAGAACAATATATTTTCAGTGTTGCATTCCTTAATTTGCCTTGCTTTCAGTGATGGTCAATCTTGAAGAATGAAACTCTTGCTTTTCCGGCTTTGTTTTTCAACTATGGGGCAGAATACTGAAGAACAGGCCAGTCCACGGCAGCTGAAGATTGTACCACTTCTAAGCACATAAGAGTTGTTAGCTTGAAAATGCTGTGGTAACAAACTCTTCCCAGTTGCACAAAATTCACCATGGTGCAAGGGAGAAGCAAACCAATTTACTCTTCCCTTTGATGTGCTAACTTTGCAAGGATATCAGATTTGTCCCTTATATATCTTTGCAACATGGTGTTGGGAAGAAACTGCTTTTCCATTTCATTTGCCAAAGGATGGCAGATCACTTTTGATGTGTGGGCATGGCAACTAAAAATAGTTGAAACCTATATTTTAATTTCCTCAAGTGCTAGTGGTGACTGCCAGTGGCCCAATCCCAGGGCACGTCTGTTCTTGTAATAATAGATGCAAACATGAAAAATCTGAAAAATAGACACTAGCCACTATGTATGAACCAACATGATATANTCTAGCCAATTGCTTTAACCACTACACCAAACTGGCACTAAAAAGCACAGTAGGGTTCATAAATTAATCACACAAGAAATAGAATATATAAAAAACATACAGAAGAAATTGAGATGGGAAATTAAGGATATAAAACCAATGTTGAAGTTTAAAATATTAAATGGCAAGGGCAATTGTGTTTAATTAGTTCAGTCAAAGACATTGGACTTAAATTTATATCCTCATGATCATAAATAATTAAAAGTATAGAAAAGTACCCACTATCATTAAGTTGGTTCTTAGATTGATGGAATCTGCAATAATTGCTTCCTTGTTAAAAGTAAAGGGTTATGATTTGCTCTCATTTTCCTTTTCCAAAGCCTTAAGCTTCATGTTGACCCACACCATTTCCACTATCTGTTAGAAAGTAGAACCAACTTGTCAAACACTTCACAGAGAGATGCACATGGTAAACGTGGGCATTTGAAAACATTGCATATTGCAGAAGCATCAAAATAACTACAAGCATTTTAGCATGCAAGGCACATGCTATAGTTAGCCTGAAAGTTAGAAGCAATATCTCCCAGCTGGGATGATGGAACAGGATATTTAGGCAGACAATACTTTTTCAGCTGCCTTTTATCATACTCACACCAATGATAGCTTTTTAATATTAGAAAAGCTTTTGCTGAGCTATGTGCATCCAGGTTAGAAATGTGAAAATGTATTCTCTTGTAAACCACAGTTACCTGAACAATAAACCTTGCTGGAGGGTCCCAGCAAGCTAACATTTTTTTTTGGGGGGGGGGGAATCTGCAGTTGTACTGGAGACAGCAGATTGAGAAAAGCTCTTTAAGGTGATTTTCTCAAGTGAGAAAATGCACATAGCCAGTCTACCTAAACAGAATATACTTGTGGGGGTGAGTGTTTGATTCCCATGTCACTGTAGCCATCTCTCTAGCTTTGATATTCCCATCTGAAGATTCTTTTTCAGGTGATGAGAGAGCAATCTGACAATTGCTAATAGATGCCAGGCTGTACAAAATGTTTTCTCTTTGATAAGTTTGGAGGAAACTAGAGGTATTGTTGTCTCTTGTCTCCTGATCCGTTCACAGGTGCTCTTCCCTCCTTACTCTCCCCATCTCTCCACAAAACTTCTTGCCTAAGGCATCTTTCCTTCCATGCTTAGACTATGTCCGAACCAGCTGATTATGCTCTCTGTGAGAAATTTGAGGCCAATATGTTTGCCAAGAACAGATGCCAGAACTGTTTGCGAACAATCACTGCTCATCAACATGGTAACCAGGTGAGCTTAATTTTGACATGGAGGAAAAATTAATTCATGAGGCGTGCTTAGTGTTGGGAAGGGGAGCATCATAAATGTTACAAGGGGAGCTTTACAGCAGTAAGGTGTTAAAACAGAAGCAATATTTCTGATAATTAAGATTTAAGGTGATGGCAACCAATCTGCTTTTAAAAAAATCAAGTGTCTGTTAACACCTTTTCCAGCTAGTAGACTTTATCAAAAAGGATAAGAGTTCATCAGCTTCAGCTTACCAACAAACTAATTCTTAATGTAACAAAGGATAAAGGTAGTAATCCTGTTCAGTGAACCTACTTCTTCCCTTTTACATTTTTTATATTCTTAAAAGCACTTTTGTGCTAGAGTTGGTACAGATATTTGTGGATGTTACAGGTGTGAAATGGAGGTGAAAGCAAGAAGTTTGGCAATTTATCATGAGCCTCCCCCACCCCCCAATCAGATGATGTCCTCAGAGGGCAAAAGGTGTTTTTAATATTGTACTTGGATGAAACACAACTAGGAATTCATCTGGCTGTAGGCTAAATTAGAAAGTTGAAAGAAAGAAAAAATACATCAGAAGAAGGTAATGGCTAATCATTTCCATGTTGTAAATCCTCCAGAAAAGATTGAGTGGATCTATTTATGTAGTTGCCAGGAGCTGACTGAACTCAAGGGAATCTTTATCTTTGTTGTGATACACTTCTCATACTGTAGATTGCAATTTTAAAACATCAAAAGGAAAACATGTATAAATAAAATCAGTTAAATTAAATGCAAGTCTACAGTATACTGAACCAGCCTAGAATAAATATTTATAATTTTCATGCACATGACTAAAGTAATCTTAAAATAAGTTTCAGTAGTTAACTTAATCAATTTCAGTACATAAAATGGGGTATTTTGACTTGCCAAGCCAAATTTCTTGTGCAGTTCTGGATACAGAATATAACATAAATTGCTGGAACAGTCTACAGGCACTGTGGTAATATATGACGGACAGGAATCTTAAAGAGTGGACTATCAAGGGATGGAATATAGTTGTCCCTTGCCAGTTCTGAAAAAAAATGGGCATGCATCTATGGAATTCTTCATTTGAAAGACAGGAAGGTTCTAACTCTGGATACTTAGCAGAGTGATTATAAGAAAGGTGGTACATTTGAAGCAGATGTACTTCAGTTAGACATGCCATAGAAGGAAAATTATATGTATGCTGTAATCATGCTAGAAGGGCTAAATGATTTATCTTAGAAATAAACACTCAGATTATTGTGGAATAAGCACTTAGTGTCCTCCAGATATATTGAACTCTATCATTCTCAGCCAATATGAAAAATGGCAAGTGTCTTCAATAACTTTGGCCTTCTCCAAAGTTATTGACCTATTTTTCAGAACTGAAGGAAGCAGGGATGACTGAATATTTGCAGTTTCTTCTCTCCCACAAGAATATTCTAGATGTGCAGGTCCATGATCCTAAATTTGGGATAGTGGAGGTTGTTGTGGTCGAAATACCTAGGGAGAAAATTGCCTCATCCTCTCTCCATTGCTCCCACCAGGAGAATTAGATGACAGGGCATTTTCTTCATAAACTATTCTCAATCCCTCATTTGGGACCTGTGGCTGTTCTTTATTTGGGATTTATTCTATTTCCTTTTGTTCTCTCTAGATTCCTTTGGCTTCTGCTTAGGTAGATGGTTTCACCAGGGTTTTTGGCCATAGAATCAGCAAGTCATGCTCCTTCCTCTACCTTTAAAAATGTGAAGTGGGAATATTGAAAATAATGTCCTTTTAAAAATCCGCATAACACTACATCTACTGAAATTCTACAACTACCTGTTATACCAGAAGGCTGATTATTCAGCCTGTAAGCTAACCTTCCTCCACCTGGTGTTCTTTGAGGGCTTATATTTCTTTCCCCACTTCCAATTCTCAGGTAGCATGCTGAAGACTGCTAAGGTAGGGAGAGGCTGCTGAAAGTATCAGAAGGGATTATCCTCTATTTTCCTGTTTTGGAGCATCCTGATGAAGGCAGAGAAGTTACTCTTGTCACAGCCCCAGCACTTCCTAAAACAATGATGGCTTGCCAAAAGAAAGGGGAAAAACACTCCTTGGCCATAGTTTGCTTGCTTTAGTGCTGTTTGCAAATGTGGAATATCCATAAAATTCTAACCTTTAGTTAAAAACTTGATAAATTAAGGATTGTGTTAAGAGTGTCAGTGGCTGAAAATGACAGCTCATAGTCTTACTGTGGAGATCCCAACAGGTTTCTTTTCTTAAAGGGCCAGGAATTCTGTGTCTTTAATCGCTGTGTGGCAGGCAGCCATTCAGCAGGTAAAACCTGCCCTGTTTATTTCCTGCAATGCTGTAGCATGCTTTCTGGCCTGGTGCAGACTGACTGGTTGAATGTCAGCACCATCCTTCCTTATAGAGTGCCAACTTGTATAAAGTAAACAATGGGGCTTAGATTGTGTCTTGTTCACTGGGCTGCATCAGCCCAGGATTATGAAATAGTAATGAGGTTTCTTCTCTCCAGTCCTGGCCCTCTAGTATTTCCTCCTGGCTCAGCTATGTGCAGCCCAGAGCCAGTCCTCCTGAGCTTCAGCAGGACAATGGAAGGGAAATGGAGGTGCTGACAGCCAGCCTGCTAGGACCCTCCCTTTGCTGATCAAAATCTGTTAAGGTAACCTGACTGGGATGAGGTGGTGGATGGCTCTCTGGCTGAATAAGGCAATAGGATGCTCTTAAAGGGACAGCCACATTTGAAATTCAACTTAGGATCTGAGTAGAAGAGGACGATTTACCCACACCCCTGCTGCTAGCCACTTCATTTCTCTGGAGGAGAGCAGGCAATGCTTCCCATTAGATGGTTCATCCTGGTAGACCATGGGCTTGATCAGGAGCCATATGCTAAGCCATAATATGATTGATTTTCACTTCTAAATAGTGGTTTATGGTTCTGTGATATGTGCAATCAGACAGGTAATCTCCACCTAAGGCCCAAGCTACAATGAGCAAATCTGTGGTTGAACAGTTCCTGCAGAATTGGAACTGGGGTGGCCAATTGTAACCTTCAGGATACAATTATCCCGTTAGCCT